GGACTGACAGGAAAAGCTCACTGTACCGGGATTCGCTCCTCTCAGCCACGCTACAAGAAAGGTAGGAGGCGCACCATGGGACAGGGAGAGGAGGGGAGAGATACCCTAAGGTACAGGAAAAGGAGGGAGAGGGGGAGAGGAACACTAAGCGACAGGGAACAGATGGGGGAGGGAAGAGGAACACTAAGGGACAGGGAAAGGAGGGTGAAAGGGAAAGGAACAGTAAGGGTCAGAGAAGGGAGGGGACCATTAAGGGACGGGGAGAGGGGCTGGATGTGAAAGAAACACACAGCGGGGCTTGAGAAGGAAAGAGACACACACAAAGGAGCTGGGAAGAATAAAAGACACAAATGGGCTGGGAGAAAAGGAGTCACACAAAGGGGCTGGGAGGAGTAAGACACAAAATGTGGGAGGATGTAAGAATCATACAAAGAGGAGAGATAGGAGACACAAAGACAAAAATAGGAGATAAAATACACTAAAGGGAGTCAGATATTTAAAAGACGGGATAAGAAACACAAAAGGGAGGTTAAGAGGCACATGGGTGAAGATGTTTTTGGGGGGGCGGAAAAATGCATCTTCGCCTATGTACCCAAAATTCTTTGCACTGGCCCTGTGTATGGCAGCCAAGGAATGAATATCAAACCCCTCATGGAATACTGTTTACAAAAGTAGATAATCCAGGGTATTCGAAATGGGGTATGTCCAGCCTTTTTTAGTAGTCACTTAGTCACATATCCTGGTCAAAGTTAGCTTTCATATTTTGTTTTTGCATTTCTCACACAAAAACTGCACTTTACCTGATGACATTATTGTCGTGACATGTTTTACTGTTTTAAAACCATCATATTTGTTTAAAGCATGTCTTCCAAGTACAACAGAAGCCCCGCATGTACAGGTATTATGGAGTTTTGGAAAGTTACAGAGTTAAATATAGGGCTTGCAAATGAAATTCTCTGGACTTTCTTCCTTGGTTGTCAGGCAGGTCCCTCAAATTGTAATTAATAAAATCACGTTATGTAAAAATAATACATAAATATGCCCTTAGAATTACATTTTTTGAGAGGTGAGGTGGGTAGGGAGTCTGGGCCGATGTCGGCCCTGATTAGAGGTAGGTCTGGGTTTAAATAGGCTGAGTAAGCCCTCCCACAACTACAGGCCATGCTGATTTGTGTTGATGATTTCACAGGCAGCTTCATTATCAGAGAGGCATTTGACTGTTTTGCCTTCCCATAATAAACCCCAGGTGTGAGCCGCTGTTACTATTGGGTATAGTTCGAATAGTGGGGATGTGGTAATGAAAGCATGTAGTGTTGAGGTTTCAGGGGGCCATGAGTTTTGGAACCACCGATCTTGATATATGGCAGCAAACCCTGTGTGGGCTGCCGCGTCGGTCCATGTGACCGGAGATTCTTCGTCCACAAGGGGTATGAACATTGACTTCCCATTCCAAGATGAGAGAAATCTGACCCACATGAGTAAATCTGCTTTTGCATGCCGGTCGATAGAAATGGAGGTATTTCCGTGAGGGGTTTCGGCTAGGAGGTGCAGTAGGCGTGATATGAATTTGCTGCCTTCTGGTATGCGATTTGGGAAATTTAGGGAGCCGAGTAGTGACTGTAGCTGTTAGCGGGAGCAACTACTCTTGTGCAGGAAATCTGTTATTTCATCTCTGATGCCGTGAACTTTCTCGACTGGCAGACTGGCTATTATGGTTGCCGAGTCTTGATGGATACCTAGGAAGGTTAGATTGGTGGAGGACCTATTGTTTGCTCTACCGATATGGGGACTCCCAATGTGGAGAATAGTGCCACTGTTTTGTTGATGCTGTGGGGGATTTTGTTGGGCTCCTCAACCGTAAGACAGTCGTCTAGGTAATGTGTAGCTACTGGGCAGCAGCACACGTTTAGGAGCAGCTAGCATAGTGTTTCCGCAAACGTGTCGAAGAGTTTGGGGCTGCTCTTGGCCCCAAATGATAGATGCGTGGCGAAATAGTACTAGCCCTTCCATTTGACACCGTGTAAATGCCACAGCAACGGATGTATGGGTAGCAACTTAAAAGCATTTTAGATATCCGTCTTCCCTACCCAGGCGCCATGCCCGGCTTTCAAGATTAAACCCATAGCATTGTCCACTGTGGCATACTGTAGCGAGAATTCTTCTGATGGTATTAGTGAATGAAGGCTAGGAACAAAAGAGGAATGAGGTGCAGAGAGGTCAATGATCAAATGCTTTTTATTATTAAATTTGCCCAAAAAATTGGGTTCGTTCTCCAATTGGAATGGGGTGGGGGTGTGGGAATGCACCTATCATGAACCCATGGTTGAGTTCTGCCGTAAACAGTGTGTCCGTGGTGTCGGGTCTAAGGTGGCTGATTGGAGGTTTCTACTCCCCCTGGGAGTGCCACTAGCCTGGTGTGGAACCCTTCCGTGAACCCTGTGGTGAGGAAATTGACCAAGTGTGGGAGGGATGACTGGATAGATAATGAGTGAGTGAGGTTGCTTATGTTAATTTCAGTGAGTCATTGCTTAGGGAACAGGTCTTTGGTGTCGGGTTACAATTAGCGCTATTACCCAGGGTTGGTGTAGTCTGTGGAAGTGTGGCAGGGATGGCAGCCGGGGTGATAATGGTAACCTGGGTCTCTAGTTTCTCCAGTCTCTCGTTAATGAGGTTAACGGATGATGGTAGTGCTGACATGGTAGCCTGGATTCCTGACGTGCTCCCATTGTTCCCCTGTGTGCTAGCTCCTGGACGCGGGATGTCAGGGTTAACGTTCAACAGGCGATATAGTTCTGCTTTGCGAGCCGTGGCTGGCTATGGGATGACTCTTCTCCTAAGCTCGGCCGTTATCTTGGGAATGGTCCAAGAATTTACAGATCCCGGGCTTGCTGTCTCTATGACAGGGGTGCCTGGTCTGGGCAAGCTGGAGATTCTGGCGGGGGTGCTAGTTAGGGAGATATCCTCCACTATGTCAGAAGCATGCGACATACTGGAATATGAATACGTGCATGATGTTAGGAATTATGATGCTATCAGTAGTAGAGTGCCAAGTGACATAAATTTTGCCCATGCCTAGGGGAATGACCCCTAAGTAATGTTAAGACGGGTAGAGGTGACCGTTTGGGTATTGACGTATTAGTGACATATGATCGATTTTTAATTTGTACTTGACGGAGGTGGCCGGAACAGTATCTGCTTGTGAGGACTGAATGAGTGGAGTGGCGTGAAACGTGGATTTGGCTGTAATACGGGGAGAGGAGGCCATTACCTCAGTGAAGTGTCCTGGGTGGCCCTATACGAGAGGCAGAGGCGTAATAGTGACTCGATATTACTTGGCCCCACCGTGGTGGATCTTATGCCCGCTGGGCTGTCAGGCTAGTGATCTTACTGGGGGTGCATACTCGTGGGAAACAACAGAAAATTACTTACCTTGTAACTAGCAAGGTTATGAGTGTTCTGTGAACCTAAAGGTAATAACTGTCCTAGCGGTACCGAAACCATATATATGGCCGGGGATGGGGGTTTTGGAGACCTAGAATTAGGTAACGTAAATATGTGCTGGTACTAGTACCTGCAAGAATTACAGTATGGTAATGTATTACCTGTTTTTAGATGGCTGGTTGTTGCGTAGCCAATGTTCATAAGATTAAGGTGTAAGACAGGATGCCTAGATAGTGATGAAGGTGAGTATTGAATAATCAAAATACCTTTCTATAAAAAATTTTTATTTTTTTATTTGGCCGTGTGGCCCTTACATACCTGGGTCTTACATGTAGGGAGATATTCCACACAAAAGGAGCGAGCCTAGTTTTGGTAGTGCCGGGCTTAGCTGGAATACATATAATTAAGGAATATGATCAGTGAGTTCATGTTACTGTGTAGAAAAAGACTCTCTCTCACTGAAGTTTGGGCCGTATATGCATTCCTGGGTGGAAGTATGCACTTCCCTCTTACGACTTCATTTTAGGTGCATGGCCCTTTAAATGTCTGGCATAGGAGTCCCCCCCCAAAAACCGTAATGTTTTAACTAAGACCGGTTTGGAGTTACTATAATTGACCGATTACACCATAATGAAAATGTGTGAGGATGATTGTGTGAGAGTTGTAGTACTCTAAGTGTCCGTTCTTATGATGGCGTAGCACTGTGATTGTGCAAATCTGATTCTCCGGCTGAACCTCCACATGTGAGTGGAGATAGAGTGAGATGGGAAAAGTGACGCGGAACCGAGCGGCATTTGCCTGGGGTGTCAATACTTGTATGTGCAAGACGTCACCAGCGCGTCACCTGAACGACGCCTACCGCTCCGTGATTGGTGGAAGCATGGATCGGAAGGAATGCGTATGCCGGGTAAGTAGTCATGTGCCTCGGTAGGGGGAGTGATACTCACATGTCCGGTAGTGGTTGCGGCATGGGAGTAACACCATGAGCGTAGCGGAAACCGACTGTGGAGCCTGAATGCAGCAGGCTGGCTGGAACGCTGGCTGGTAATTGTGCCTTCCGAGTGTCTTGGGCAGAAGTAACTGTGGGTGTAGGGTAGTTCTTCTTGCCGACGGGAACACTACTGTGACGGACCGGAACCGGAAGTAGACACAAAAGGAGTCTGGGTTGATGTTGGCCCTGATTAGAGGTAGGTCTGGGTTTAAATAGGCTGGGTAAGGAATAGCTGATGCCAAACACGCAGAACTTAAGTAAATATAAAGGAAAATCCCAAGATGTATTATCGGGCTTTAGAGTGGCCGGATTTAACTTATAAAGGAAAAAAACAGGATAATGACAAGAACGCAGAAAACACGGAAACGATGAACAAGCCAAGCGTCAAAGAATGGACCCTGCAGGTACATGCCTGTTATAGGGTAGAGCAACCAAGCGGTCGCTGACAGGCAATAATACTTGATCTCATATAGCTATAAGCCCATGGGTGTAGGAGTATTACTTAGCCCATTAGAAACATATAAGCATGCTATACCGTATTCAATGTGGAGAAAAATAAAAGACAAAGTAAATTAATATAAGGGAGCATTCTAATAGGTTGCACTGAAGCTAAAATGTGCCACTGGAGTCTCTCAAGGCCACGCAGCCCCCCAGGCGCCATTCTCTGTGTGCCGCAGATGACATGTAGACAGTCCTGCTGGATCTTACGGACTCATTCCTGCCTCTTCTCGTGTCCGACCTGCAAGTCCTGTGAAAAGTTGGGTTGTTGCCAGTCCCGTGCTCCATGTGCGCCTGTCACCTGTGCCTCCGGTTCCCCTGCCATGGATGGTCAATATCGGGATTCCCAGGTGAGATGTCATCGGGCTGTGGTTCGGGGGTTGTCGTCAGGGTGCTCTAGGCCCAAGTTGGCAGCTGCTAGGACCGGACTTTGATATGAGGGTTGGTCAGATGAGGCAGCTCCGCTGCTTAGCAGGTTGTAGTAGCAACAATAGCCCAGGGTTAAGAGTTGGGGCGGCATGGTCCAGGAAGCCATATGAGTGCTGGTAACGCTGTCGGGCCCAGCGTGTGCCATGCGGCCGCCATCTTGTTGGTCGGGCGCTGAGGTTCGTTGGCTGAGAATCTCTGCACAGACGGCCCACTCAGTGTCGGCTGCCTCCAGTGGGGACCGGGATAACCCCCGCCGGTCCATGGGGGGGGGACCAGGGCCTGTGAGGGGTATCACATAGCCGTTGGGTGATTGTCAGGCATGCAAACAGGGCAGCGGCCGTCTGCCCCGCTCCTCTCCCGAGTAGGCCGCCTTCTCCAAAGCTTTGTACCACCCAAAGGGCCCTCAAAACTCCCGATCTTGGAGTCCACGGTGTCACCAACAGCTACTTGCACCCTTGGGTACATTACACAGCTTAAGTATTCGCAGTGAGTCTATAAATTTTGCTTAAAAAGCCAAGCTCAGCAGGAGCCTCTGCAGCATGCGACCGGTCAGCATGGCTGCCAGGCCCCGCCCCCGTTTTTTTTGTTTTTTTACAGACATGCAGTATAGCGAGTAGGAGCAGAATTTACTAATACTTAGTAATCCTTACCGTCTTGGTTGGCTGTCAGGCCCCGCCCCCTCTGCATGGCATTTTAACTACACATATTTGTGTTCAGCAATGTCTCACGAGTATGACAGTACCCCCCATGTACAGGCTTTATGGGGGGTTTACATGGGGAAAGTTACAGTCAAATATAGAGCTTTCCCTCTTTAAGTTTTTTCACATTGAAATTTTACAGATTTGTTTGCTTGTATTGCCTTTGAGACTGTATGGCCAGGGCCGGCGCGTCCATAAGGCGGCACAGGCTCCCTGCCCTCCCCAATGTAACCCCATTCACTCCCTGCCCTCCCCAATGTAACCCCATTCACTCCCTGCCCCCCTCCCCACAGTGTATCTCCTTCACTCCCTGCCCTCCCCCCATGTGACCCCTTCACTCCCTGCCCTCCCCCATTGTAACCCCTTCACTCCCTGCCCTCCCCACACTGTAACCTCCTCACTCCTCTCCTCCCCACACTGCCAACCCTTCACTCCTGCCCCCTCCCCACACTGTAACCCTTTCCCTGCCCCTCCCACTGTAACCTTTTCTCCCCTGCCCACTGTAACCCTTTCTCCCCCTGCCTGCCCACGCCTTATCCCCCTGCCTGCCCACTGTAACCCTTTCTCCCCCTGCCCGCCCACTGTAACCCTTTCCCACACTGTTACCAGCACACACACTCCCTCCCACACTGTCACCCTCACCTCTCCCACACACTGTCACCCTCACCTCCTGTCTCTGCGTGTATGTGTGTCAGTGTGTGTGTATTTGTGTGCCTGTATGTATTGTGTGTCAGTGTGTATTTGTGTACATGAGTATCTGTGTATCCCTGCAATTATAAGAAAATGGTAGATTCCCATCTGGTATAGCATTGTTCAAGTTCTCCGACAGATGAGATCTACCTTTTGGCCACACTTGCACTACAGGTGGGCCCAGAAAACATTCTTGCACCAGGGCTAACTCTACATTAGTTCCACCACTGGGATAATCAATGTGAGGTGCCTGGATGAAAGAGCCTGAGTCTGTGAGTAAGCAGTTGTATGTCTCTAAAACTGATTGCCATGATGTGCAAAGTTTCTGCTTCTAAAACCTGAAAACTGCCATGTTATGCCAATTTTATGCATCTAAAACTGATTGCCATGGTGTGCCAATTTTATGCTTTTAAAACTGATTGCCATGGTGTGCCAGTTTAATGCATCTGACTGTTTGCCATGATGTGCCAATTGTATGCCTTATGAAGCTGATTGCCATGATGTGCCAAGTTTATGCATCTAAAAGTGATTGCCATGATATGTCAAGTTTATGCATCTAAAGCTTATTGCCATGGTGTGCCAAGTTTATGTATTTAAAGCTGCCATGATGTTCCAATTTTATGCCTCTAAAACTGATTGCCATGATGTTCTGAATTTATGCCTCTAAAGCTGGTTGCCATGGTGTGCCAATTGTAAGCCTCTAAAACTGATTGCCGTGGTGTGCCAATTGTATGCATCTAAAGCAGATTTCCTAGGTGTGCCAATTTTATGCCTCTAAAACTGATTGCCACAGTGTGCCAATTGTATGCATCTAAAGCAGATTGCTATAGTGTGCCAATTGTATGCCTCTAAAGCGGTTTGCCATGGTGTGCCAGTTTTATACCTCTAAAAGTAATTGTCATGGTGTGCCAATTGTGTGGATCTAAAGTGGATTGCTATGGTGTGCCAATTGTATGCCTCTAAAGCTGATTGCCATGGTGTTCACTTTTTAAAATATGCATTAAAAGGAAGTGGGTCTCGAAAAATTACCGTTTTGAAAAGTAGGTCTCGGCCCATAAAAGTTTGGAAAGCCATGCATTAGAATCAGTAATATATATATTTTGTTATATAGTCTCTGTCCTCTTGTGGTTTTCCTTTTATCTTTCCCAATGCTCATTCAGTGTCTCCTTTTCTAATGATACCTCCTCCCCTCGTCATGTCTCTGTTGGAGTCCCCCAATGCTCTGTACTTGGTACCCTTCTATTTTCTCTTTATACTGCCTCTCTTGACAAACTTGGCAAACTTTTTACCTCTTTTGGATTCCACTACCACCTGTACGCTGATGACACCCAGATATATCTCTCCTCCCCGGACCTCTCCCCTGCTGTCCCGCAACCTGTCACTGCTTGCCATCTCTGACTTTCTTCCATCTCTGACTGGATGTCCTCCTGCTTTCTGAAACTCAATTTCTCTAAAACTGAGCTCCTTGTCTTTCCTCCTCCTAATACTGATCCTCCTCTTTCGCTTTCCCTTCATGTTTGTGGTACCCACATCAGTCCATCCTTGCAAGTGCGCTGTCTTGGCATCATACTTGATTCTGGCCTCACCTTTGAGCCTCACATCCAATATGTTGCCAGATCCTGTAGATTCCATCTTAAAAACATAGCCCGCATCCGCCCCTTTCTTACGCAAGATGCTACCAAGGAGCTTGTCCATGCTCTAGTAATTTCCTGCATGGATTATTGGTCTCCTGATTGGTCTTCCCAAAAGCCGTACTGCACCACTACAGTCCATAATGAACGCTGCTGCCAGACTCATTTCCCTCTCTAGTCGGTTCTCTCACACCTCACCCCTCTGTCAGGCCTTACATTGGCTTCCTGTATGCTATAGGAGTCAATTCAAGGTACTAATTCACACCTATAAAGCACTGAACAACTCTAGCCCCTCTTATATCTCTTCACAGATCCATAGGTATGTCCCTTCTTGGTCTCTCCACTCTGCCTGTTACCACCTCCTGTCCGTTGTCCGCACTCATACAGCCAACTCACGCTTGCAGGACTTCTCGCGGGCGGCTCCCTTCCTATGGAATAGCCTGCCTACCGCCATCAGACTCTCCCCTAGTCTTGCATCCTTTAAGAAGTGCCTTAAAACCCATCTCTTTAGGAAAGCTTATGGCCTCCCAGATTAACCTCTACCTTACATACCTGTCTCTTGCTCTCTCTTAAAGAGCAGCCCACCTTAGTTGGCTGCAAATTCCTGTCCTATTGTGTTTTACACCCCAACTCCTATAGAATGTAAGCTCGTTTGAGCAGGGTCCTCTCCAACCTATCGTTCCCATAAGTTTTTTGTAATTGTCCTATTTATAGTTAAATTCCCCTCTCATAACATTGTAAAGCGCTACGGAATCTGTTGGCGCTATATAAATGACAATAATAATATATGTGTATATATATATATATATATATATATATATATATATATATAAAGAGGCTACAATACCTTGCACTCAAGCTGCAAAAAATGTTCTTAGCCGGGTGCACTACCAGGGCTCCAAAATAGATAGCAGAAAGTAGATGGCTGCACTCACAGTCTTCCAACTAAAAATTTAAAATCTTCCAACTAAAAATGTTATCATAACATTTTAAAATCAGGGTCAACGTTTCAGTCCTCTCCAAGGACTCATAAATGTGTGCAAATAAAGAAAGTGTTTATATATGGTATGTAAAATAGTGGAAAGACTTACCCCAGGTGTTCAGAGTTGAAAACCGGCATTCTGACGATCCCAGTGCGCATACGTGACTAAGCTCCGCCCCCAGTGATTATGTCATTGCGTACATGTCGTTGTGGTTACTATGGAAATGCGGCATAATATAATTATAACCATCACCTTCGTGGAGTGTATTCTATGTAGATTCTCAAACTTTTAGCAACACCTCTAGCCGTAGTGGTTGGTGCTCCTTTAATCACCTAATGGTACAGTTTTTTTCATGAAGCAATACCTCAGTGGTTAGTGCTCCAAATTCAATTCCCTTTATCTTCAAGTGGTTCTTCTTCCTCAGTTGCTATGACAACAACAAAGGCTGCCTGATCATGTCTCCTTTTGTAATCTCAAACACAGATTTTTAGGGCTATGTTTTATATGATGTTCTTTATTGTGAAAGTGATCAGACATGCAATGGAACGTCTATATGCAGCACTGAAAAGATCTACATCAAAATATATATATTGTTGAATGGGTAAGGCAGTGGCTGAGTGACAGGCAACAGAGGGTTGTAGTTAATGGAATATATTTGAAGCTTGGACTTGTCACCAGTGGGTTACCTCAGGGATCTGTACTTGGACCCATTCTCTTTAATATTTTTATTAGTGATATTGCAGAAGGTCTTGATGGTAAGGTATGTCTTTTGCTGATGATACTAAGATATGTAACAGGGTTGATGTTCCAGGAGGGATAAGCCAAATGGCAAATGATTTAGGTAAACTAGAAAAATGGTCAGAATTGTGGCAACTGACATTTAACATGGATAAGTGCAAGATAATGCATCTTGGATGTAAAAACCCAAGGGTAGAGAACAGAATATTTGTTAGAGTCCTAACCTCAACATATGAGGAAAGGGATTTAGGGGTA